TTACTTTGCTGTAGTGGATACACAGCATCCCTTATTGTAAATTTCTGGAGTGTTTCATAATCATTGTTTCAATAGGTGACCATGTCTTTGAACTGGATGGTGCGGATGACTTCAGAACTGGAGAACAACATAGTAGCAGTGGAGAGAGTGAAGGAGTACTCTGAGACCAAGACAGAGGTATGTCATGAATATTTCCCTTTAAGCACATTTCTAATACTCTGTGAAGATGGGACTGTTCATGTGTTTGCTTTTAAAGTGGTGTTGGCTTTGTGCTACGGTTAAAATGTAGGAATTTAGCCACGTAAAAAAAACAAAAACCTGCCTTGTTGCTCAACTCTGCAACACAAGACCTATAAACTGTAACTAGTTCCAGAAATGTTAGCTTACCTGCTGCCAACAAGGGCCCCTCTGTTGCAGAGAAACAGGGCACTTATACTGTACAGAGTGTACTTTTTCAGTAGCCGTCACAGAAAGTGCCCCTTCTGTGCATTAGTTGGTGTAGCTGTTATTGAAAGCCTCTGTTTGAAGCATCCGGTGCATCCCAGAGGTGAAATAAATATTTGGCAGCTCCGAGCGGCTGTGCAAAGAAGTACAGCTCTCTGACTTCTTAGCCTGATAAACAAATCCGTTCTGGTCCAAGCCAAAGAGGCTAATGAGTTGCTCAGAAAGTTTTCCTACCATGAAGAGCTGTGTTTGTGTTTACAGGCCCCCTGGGAGGTGGAGGACAAGAAGCCCCCACCTGAATGGCCCATGCAGGGGAACGTGGAGTTCAACGACTACAGCGTTCGGTACCGAGAGGGACTGGACCTCGTTCTGAAGGACATCACGCTAAAAGTCAAGGGAGGAGAGAAGGTGTGGGGCGGATATGCCGAGATGATTTATTTATCAGTGCAGAATAATGGCTCAGTGGGGTGTTCAACACAACTCCGTGTGTTTCTGCGCAGATCGGTATCGTAGGTCGTACGGGGGCCGGCAAGTCTTCGATGACGCTCTGCCTCTTCAGATTGCTGGAAGCTGCAGGAGGCGAGATCACCATCGACAACGTGAAGATATCAGAGATAGGCCTGCACGACCTGCGGTCTAAACTCACCATCATTCCACAGGTACGACTGTCAAATTCTGCCTCAATGAAGCACCTGTTTGTTTGAAAAGGATTATATGTCAGTATTTGTGCGAATAATCTTAATTTTTCAATGAAATATGTACAGTTTAGATCTCATACATCAACAGGAAAAAAACTAAACTAAATGATTCAGAGTCGTAATTACTGTATAAAAAGCATCCATTTACTTCTACCACTTATTAGGGTCTGGTATAACTCAAGAAACAAATCTTTTAAGCCAATGCGGACATAGCGCAGTTAATATTATTCACTGTGATATCTGCTACTGCTGTCTCAAGCTCTATATTCTGCTATCTCTAGTCGGGAAACATCTGAAATCACCAGTCAAACAACCCCCTGTGAGCAGCCACTTGGCAAAAGTGGGAAGGAAAAGCTCCCTTTTAACAGGAAGAACCAGTTATTGTAAAAATTGTTCAAAGATTATGTGAAAACAGCTTGAGTCACATAAACAGGGTTATTTAGATTGTTGTTATGTTGACTGAGGCTCTGGAGACTAATTCTTAATTTAGCTGCTGATCTCTCTGCTGTAAACTAAAGCTAGTGCTTTGCACCTTACCAGTGATACCCACCACCAGTGTTGGTCAAGTTACTTGAAAAAAGTAATCAGTAACTAATTACTGATTACTTCCCCAAAAAGTAATCCCGTTACTTTACTGATTACTTATTTTCGAGAGTAATTAATTACTTAGTTACTTTTTAAAAACACAATTCACAACCTGAATAGGTGATAAAGCGATAGATCTTTCAGCCCAATTCTACTTTTTTTACATAATCCATCATACAAAATGTAATCAAATGGAAAAGTCTCTTTTTAAAACTTGTTTTATTAGTTTTAATCTTTTAACTTTA